CATGAAAAGTTACATCTTCAAATTGATATAATGCTCTGTTTGCCACAGTGGTTATTACAGAAATATGTTTATTACTTTATGCAGCGTATAACTTTACTTTTAAATTACCTTTTTGAGTTGACATTTCCCTTTGGTATAATCTGCCCTAAGATCAAGTTTGGTAAGCTCCTTCAAAATTAATAATTTAAACTAGTCAAATTTTTTATATCGTTCTTTTATATTCCAGATAACATAGACTTTATTGATTTAAACTTCAGAAAAATTTCAGTGACTGCAGTATTAGTTTTAGAAAGCAGTTTTAAAATTTTTATTTTAATGGACCATTTTATTGGGGGCTCTTACAGCTCTTATAGCAATCCATACATCAATTGTGTCAGCCGCATTTGTACATATGTTGCCATCATCATTTTCAAAACATTTAACAATGTTTGTTATATGATACTTTCAGGAAGAAATGTATGACACTACTGAGACATTCTAGAAGAAATCTAGTTCAGTGCCTGAAGTTCAGAGTTGTTTTCTGAACCAGAGAACTTACAAGAATAGCTTGCATGTTGGTCCAGATAGAAGTCTTTGTACCCACGGTAGATAAATGCAGAGGGTATATTCTTTGACTGGTGCTTAATGGCCAAATATTTGTGGGAGACTTTTCTGCTACCATTTTTTGGCAACTTGCTTCATATACTACCTAGGTACTTGGGGTACATATTGGGCAGGGGTGCTCAAACTTGGCAGTTCATCACCTGGATAGCTTAAAAATTCATACTATGGGGAGAGTGAGAGATGACCATTCAGCTGCTGCCATACAAAATGGTGCTAAGGTCACCCCAAATCAGCAGACACTCCTACCAGAGTGATAAACAAACCTTACTGGAAATTCAAGTCAAGATAGGGGAAGGCAGCATGTATGTTTTGGAGAAGGTAATTACATGTCTGTTGGTAGGAAAACAGGAAGGAGCGACCTCCCACCAGGAAAAAGCTCCTAACAATACATATATAACTCACAGGGAGGGTATTCCTGGTACCATGTTCCTAAGTGGACACTTTTGACCTACTTTCTATCTAGACCTTGGTGACTCAGATCCTGTGCTATAGACTACTACTGGGACCGTAGACTCTGTTCTCTTAAGGCACACAAAATTCTTTATAGGCCACACCAGAAGGACTTAATTTGGAAAACACACTAAGTGACAGGGCTTCAACTCAAACTTACCCACAGCCCTTGGACTTAAGGTTGAAACTCTGTAGTGTGAGAAGAGGAAAATGCCTATTATCCCAAGAGTATAGAACTTTGGCTCTGATCTATTGCCTTGAGAGTTCCCATAGAATTCTGGCTTGGGACTTCCATATAATTACTATTCCAATGCCCTCCTGGCTTTATTATGACCTGTATTAATCTGGTAGGCGTGAATATTCCACTGTCAATGAATATTATTGAAAGTTTGGTTCTATCACCAACTTCCAGGGTTTGTATAAATAGTGTCCAGTAATTTAAGAGTTTAATCTGTACAAGTCAACAATTCATGTGTTGTGAGTTGTAGCTGGCCTATACTTGTGTATTTTCCTTCTCTAAACAGTGTTTGAAATTCTATACCATTGGCTAAATTAATGACATTATCAATAGAATTACCTGATGCCTTAGGGGATGATTGATAATGTTTTCTAACATAGATTGATAATGATGGCTCTAAGGTGAGCTAGAGAGATATATAGACCATAGACATATGAAAGGATTTGGGATCACACTTAATTCTAGCCCCAATCTCAGAAGAATTAGTTCTTATGCCATTCAGATCATGAAGGATCCCATGCATCATCCAAAGAAGTTTTGACTGTATGTTGGGGAACCGTTTTAAATACAGTGTCTATTTAGCCTGCTTTGTGTTTTTTCTACTACAAGTGTCACACTCTCCTAGGACACGGCTCAACATTTTCATGGAAAAAGATAATTTTTCTATGACCTGTGTGCAGTCCTCTTGTACGAAGTATTCTCATTTGTTTGTCACAAATAAACAGCAGTCTTCAGTCTCTGGAAAAGATCACTTAAAAAATAATCCTTGCAAGTCCTTGTCTCACATCTGGAAACTTGCCTGGCACTCAATTTCCTACTCTAACATAAACCTTTCCCTAAGGGAAAATCATGATTGCCTCTGCCTTGATGGGATAAAGAATATGATTCTGAAATCTGGCTTTTCTTCTGGAAGTCAGGAGTGTTGGTGGGGTACAGGAGGGGCCTGGCACATGACTAGTCCCTGACAAAATCCTTGGATGTTGAGTGTCTGAAGGGCTTGACTAGATCAAAATTTTATGCACATGTTGCTGAATTTTTGTAGCTAGAATAATAGTGTACTCTGTGAGTCCTCATTAGAAAGAGCTAATGAAATCTTACCATAGTGAATGATGGGGGGGAGTGCGAAGTGGAGATCCAAAGCCCGTTAATAGGCCACTGGAGATCCCCTTGCAGAGGGGTCTCGGGGAGGAGATGAGCCAGTCAGGGTGCGATGTAACAACGATGAGAAATACAGCTTTCCTCTAGTTCCTAAATGCTTCTTCCACACCCACTATCATGTTCCCAATTCTACTTTACAAATCTGGCTAGACCAGAGGATGTACACTGGTACAGATAGGAACTGAAAATACAGGGAATCCAGGGCGGATGAGCCCTACAGGACCAGTGGTGTGAGTGGCGAAACAGGGAGGGTAAAGGGAGAATGGGTAGGAAAGAGGGACCCGATTACAAGGAACTATATGTGACCTCCTCCCTGGGGGACAGACGACCGAAAAGTGGGTGAAGGGAGACGTCAGACAGGGCAAGATATGACAAAATACCAATTTATAAACTATCAAGGGCTCATGAGGGAGTGGGGAGCGGGGAGGGAGGGGAAAAATGAGGACCTAATGTTGGGGGTTTAAGTGGAGAGAAAATGTTTTGAGAATGATGTACAAATGCGCTTTACACAATTGATGTGTGTATGGATTGCGATAGCAGTTGTATGAGCCTCTAATAAAATGTTTAAAAAAAAAAACACCTTTCCAAATATATATAAAAAAGAAAGACCGAATGAGATAAGGTCGGTCTCATTAGATAGACCTTAAAGAGGCCCACACGTGCAATTTATTCAGGGCTTTTCTTCATTACTCTTCTAGACTCATATGAAGGGGCTTTGAAATTTCCTAGAAAAAGTCTATTGCTTTTAAATACCATTTTCCATGAACTTTTTAAAACCTCCATATATATTTATAACATTATTGTAATCAATCTTAGACATATATATGCTGGGACACGTGAGAATTTTTAGCAGCTCTCTGGACATCGGGGTGATTTGTGAACACAGGGGATTCCCATGCTATGAGTAATAAACTATAAGTGTTCACTCAATGGGTAAATAAAGTGAATTACTAAAGGACAATATTTGTGTCCTTATCTTGCATCTGTAACTTGCTTTACGGCCCAAACTTGTTTTATCCAGTTTGATCTCTCACCGTCTTTCTCAAATTCTCAAAGTCGTATTTGAAACCCTTTGACTCCTCCTACCTTCAAATGACAGAGGTCCTTCATCATGGTGGAGCGTCCAAAGAAAAAGTTGCCCTCTCTAAAAGCAATTTCAAATCAGGAGATCCAGAAAAGTTTTGAAGAGCAACATTCTCAGAATTTTTATAGAGGCTCAAGGTGACTTATGATAATAATGAAAACAGATGAGGATTCACGTGATTGTGGTATGCTGAAAGCTTATCACATTATTTCAGCACTACCTCCCAGAGCAGACAACCTCTCTTGTTATATTCAGAAAGCACTGCTATTTATGGAAGAATAACAAGGAATTAGATACCTTTGTAGAATTTATACTGGGAAAACACTGTACTGAAGGCTTACTTTAAAATAATTTTCTTTTAAACAAGTCAAGGATATGTCTGACTCTATTAATAAGTTTCAGAGTTTGCCTGAAGGAATTTTTAATTCACCAAGAAATCCTGGGATTTTTTTTGCACATCTTCTTCATTCTTATAAATCCACCGGAACCTTGTCCTTTTTTAATGAATAACCGAATGTGGCATATCCTTGCTGAGGCGTCTTCCTGGACAGACCTTATAATTCCTTTCAGTGATCTTTGTCTCACTCTGATCTGAGATAGAATAAAACTCATGGGCTTACTGCTGACTGCTTCCTAAAACCTCAGAGTCTTTTCTGAGACCCAGTAGATAAAAAGCACCACTTTTTAAGCATGGTTGACCTTATTTTTTAATCTATATTTCTTTACTAATTAGAAAGGATTTTCAGTTCCCAAGTGGACTTTAACATCGAATGTCCCTGGAGTGGTTAGTATACAGTAGCAGTGATTTCCTAAGAACATGCACTTTTAAAATGGTAGTTTCCTTTGTCATCTATTTATAATTTTTCTGTTCCCATTATTGCTTTCTCATGCTTTATTTCTCTCTCTCTTTTCATTTATCACCAGTCATCAGTGTTGTCCCCTCACTTGGGCATTAATACTTCTTTTAATACTTGCAGCACTTATGAGGTACAGTTTTATATTTCTAGGTTATAGTTATAGAAATGTGTCAAAATTGTGTTTTTATTCTATTAAAAGAAACTTAGTGGAAACATGTTGTATTGTAGACTTATAGTCTTTTTGTTACATTTGAACAGAGAGGTTGTGTTTGTTTGATTTGGTTTTGTCCTGCTTAGTCAACAACTTTAATGGAAAGTATGTTTTCTATTGCTGATGTTAGTCTACTCAGAATGCTTGATTGACAATGAAAGTTGAGTCTTAACAAAAAATGTAAATTATTTGTGTAGACTTACTTAATGAAATATATGAGTGCTCTGTGGTTTGCTGGTACTTGTAATATCAATAACCCCCAAAATGTTAATTTTAGAAGAAAAATTTCAGAAGCTTCTAGTAATCAACTTCATAACTTGATCATCTGATTTATTTCTTCTCAAATACATGATCTTCTGGTTCCCTTTATATCTTAACTTTTGATATTTTCTATTCTAGTTTTCCAGAGAAATGGTCATTCAGAGCCTACACATCTATTCTGTATTTTGACCCTTGGATGAGAATATTCATTCAAGCCAAAAGAGTTAGAACGAAACACCTGTATCATTGCCTCTACAGACCCAGGTAATTTCGTCTTCCAGCAGTTGTCTTCATGGTTTGTAATAACAACCTCATATGCACTTCCCAAATTTTCAAGACAAGGACATTGACTTTTATAGTCAGATTCTTAGACTATAAACAGATTTCAAACCGCATTTAGGAAGTGTGTTAAAAAGTAAAAAGTGATTAATATTTTGAGGAAATAGCAATAAATTTTAGTGAACACTCGAAGTTGGATAATAATTCAAAATAAGAATTTGTTTTCCACCTCAACGACTCTCAGGCATTTTGATTGTGAGAGGTTCCATTAAGAGATCAAACTTCACTTTGATCCTCCACTTTCAAAACAGATTTGGATTGTTGAGCCATATGTCAATGGACCCTCCATGTCCTTGCGTTCTGCACCTGGGGTTTCAACCAACTCCTGAGTGAAAATATTTGGAAGATTAAAAAACAAAACAAAACACAATTTTGTGGACAAAGCAAGTCCCCAAAGGCTAAGACTGAGGATAAAGTGCTATTTAGACTGTGTTTACACTGTATTAAATATCATAACTTATTTAGAAATGATTTAGATTATATAAGAGGATATATCAAGGTATATGCAAATACTACCTCATTTTATATAAAGGGGGACAGGGCTCAGGGAACCAATCCTCCGTGGATGGGGACAGGAGAAAGATGCCTATACCTATATGTGCATGAGCATTATATGCAAGATGAAACATTTTTTAAACACACATCTAGTTCATGTCTATTTTATTTCATACCACAGTATGAACTTTCAAAGATTATATTTGTATATTATAAAACCTGTCTTGCCCAACTATGTATGCAATCAGAGCAATAATTTATTTTGTGGTTTCTAAATGATCATTCATTTATTTACCAAGCATTTATCAAAGTTGTCGATGATTCTGAGATTGTAATAGGTAAAGAATGTAAAAAAAGATAAGATTAGTTTCAGTTTTGAGGAGCAATATCTACCATGAAAAACTTTGAAAGTGTTACAATGTCTGTATACGTACATTTCACACGATTTCATTTCATTTTCGCAGGGATCCTGTAGTTAGGTTTTATTGTCAACACGTAGACATAAGTGAATGCCCGAAATGGACAAAAACCATGAATCTTCTAGCTCAAAATTCTTTACCACTCTAAATTCCATGATCTTTCTCATGTAACACTTACCCTTTGACAATAGGCCTACATTTGTCATTTTATCTTATTTTCATGAAAAAGTGGTTTCTGTCCTTACACTCACTCAAAAGGAAATCACTGTTCGTATATGTGCTGCCGAAGCGAGCACAGGAAATCACTGTTAAAAGGTATAGCTATCGGGATCTTTCACCCTAGCTGCACACCAGTGGACTGCTGAAAAGCTTTACTTTTTATTTCCTATTATGTTAGAGATCATCTGTTGAAAATAAAGTAGACCAAAGCTAAGACTTTCTCTGTGCATTTGTCTATTTATTCTCTACTGAATATCAAAGCAATATTTTTCTTTTCATTGATAGACTCTTATTCTATTTTGAAGTATCAAGAGGTTTTTTGGATCAATCAATAAAACTCATCTTTTCAAATTAAATTGCTCCTCCTTTAGTGATTTTGAGTAACAAATGGTTTAAGCCAATAGAAAATATGATTTGTCTTTATTTTCTGAGAGGAATTCTACTACACTGAATTCTATCCACCTAAATTACTTATACCAGTTGATAACTGTTGCCTATTCTAGTATATGCTTTGCTTCTGGCACCTGTCAAAGTAATATTCACCTGTATATGTGAAGGGGCTTCTGGAAGTTTGTTGGAAATAGACATAAAATATTATATAACTTTTCCATGAACTTTTGGAAACATATGTATTATAATTATAAATTGATGTAAATAAGTGGGTTGATATGCATGTGTATGTATACACACACTCATATATATATATACACGCATTTAATATCAGGAAATAAGTATAATGTAAGTATATAGTTTATTACCAAAAATAAATTGAAAAGGATTGATTCTCAAAAAGTTTCATTTGGAGTTCTGATAAGCTCTGCTAAATCTGGTGTTTGATATTTCCATATAGACATAAAAATGGCATGAAAAGATAATGGGATTTTTCCACAAATTTTTGAAGCTTTCTCACATGTATTTTTACTTTAAATCTTTTCATTGTGAATTGGGTGGAGTTATCAGTTTTCCACTTAACAATCCATACATATTTTGTCTCATCTCATTTCTTACAGTTTTCACAGTATAACCTTGTCTCCCATCCTCCCTGATAGTATTTCCATTCCTCTTCCTTTCTACAGCCTTCTGAACTTTGTTCTTGGGCAAATGCTGGCCTTTTGATGTCAATTTATTGATTATTCTAAGATGTGAGTGTCTTACTGTTATTATTCTCTTTATAGGCTGTAATATCTAGGTACTTTAGAAAAACAAATCCACAGAAACTCATGTATAAGAGAGAGTTTTATAGAAAGGTTAAGTGTGCATCAAGAAAATATCCCAACCCAGTGCTTTCCAAGCCCACAAGTCCAACATTAACCCATTAACCCATATGTCCGACACCAATCCACAAAGTCCTCCTCCATCTCACAAAACAGACACAACGATGTCGACTGCAAGAGGAAAGCCAAATCAGTGAACATGGAAGTATCTAAGCGCTGGCAGGGGTCTCCACACGGCTGCTCCAGCACCCAGGGCTGAATCGGGGTAGGTCCATGTGGCTTCTCCTCAGGGATGTCTTGAAGGAAGTGAGCCTTGCAAGCTGAAGAAGGGAATTGGCTAAGGTAGCTGCACCCTGGTCCAACCATCAGAAAGCAAGAGACCAGAGAACTAAAAGGCGAGGCTCACTGAACCATTTATCCCTCCATTCTTCAATTAACCCCACATGTGTTTATCAGCCAGGTTGGCACAATAAACCTACTACCTCATAGGCCTATTGTTTGGTTGCAAATTTAGCCAAGGGGTAAATTTATTTGTAGAGCTGGCAAGTGACTAAGTGCCCGAGTCTTGGGAGGTATATTAGCTTCTTTCTGACCAATAAACTCTTTTTTCCCCCTGTTTCTCTCTAACTGGTATTTTATTGGTTGTTTTGAGGGTCAAAATATAGAGATTATGAACACTTTGTACATAATTCTTGATGGATGTACTCAAATTCTAAAAGGCATGTAGTTGCAATTATGCAATATGTTAGGACCTTACATTTTCTCCTGTGTTTTCATTGATGATCTTTATAGTTCTAGAGTTTACCTTCAGATCCTTCATCAATCTTGCATTAATTTTGAGGTGAGTTATGGATCCTGTTTCATTCTTCCTCAGATGGAAATCTTAAGTAGTTCTTTGCTTATCCTGGGTCTCTTTCTTCTCCATATAAAGTTGGTAATTAGTTTTTTAAAATTTCTTTAAAGAATGACATTGAATTACATTATATTTATGGGTTGCTTGGGTAATATTGACATTTTAAAAATGTAACTTCTTCCTATCCATGAGCATGGAACATTCTTTTATTTACATAGGTCTCAATTGTTTCTTGAAATGGTATTTTGTAGTTTTCTTTGTCCAATTCTTTTAATTCCCTATTTAGGTTAAATCCTAAGTATTTTATCATTTGGGTGGCTTTTGAAAATGATATTGTTTTCTTGATTTCCTTTTCAGAGCTTTCTTCATTAGTACATTGGAATCTGATTGATTTTTGTATATTGATCTTGGACCTTGCCACATTGCCAAATCTTCCAACTACTTCCAACAATATTCTTGTTGGTCATTTGGGCTTTTCCACATATAGAATCATATCATCTCTGACTAGAGAGTTTTATTCCTTTTTGTCAATTTGCATATCTTTGGTTTCTTTTTATTGTCTAATAATTCTAGCTAAGACTTCCAGCACAGTATTGAATGAGTGTTGATAAAGGGCATTCTTCTCTGCTTTCTATTTGCAAAGACAATATTCCCAATATCTCACAGTGCAGCAAGATGTTGGCTGTTGGAGTTGTTTATATGGACTTTATTGTGTTGAGGAATTTCTCTCCTATTCTAATTTTTCACTACTTTCTCAGGAATGGGCGTTGGATTTTGTCAAATGCTTTCCTACATTCATTGATATAATCATGTAGGTCTTATCCTTTGTTTTGTTTGTATGGTGGATTATATCAATTGTTGAACTAATGTTGATCTACCCTGCATACATGTTATTTTTGTTTTCTTGTTATTGTTGTATTCTATTGGCTAGGCTTTTCTAGAAAATTTTTGCTTCTATATTCATAAGAGATATTGATCTGCAATTTTCATTTCTGCCAACGCCTTTACCTGGTTTTCGTATCAGGGTTGAACTCACTTCATAAAATCAGTTTGAGACTTTGCCATATTTTTCGATACTCTGAAATAGTTTGAGTAGAATTGGAGTGGATTCTTCTCTGAATGCTTGGTAGAATTCCCTGGTAAAACCATCTGGTCCAGGAATTATTATTTTGTTCTTGGGGGTTTGTTTGATAACTCAACCTAATGTTCCTTTACTTCTTTTGTAATAAGTCTATTGAGGTTTTCTTTTATTTTTAATAGTTTTATTTTGGTATACTTCACATATAATTGAATTTAATTACTCAGCCATATTAAGAAGAATTGTGCAGTCACCACCACAATTAATTTCAGAACACTTTCTTCTTGTACTCCCTGCTGTTAGCTCCCCAATCGCCACCCATCCTCCCCTGACAAACCCCTAGCTAATTATTAGTCCAGTTACTATCTCCTCGGATTTACCTATCCTGAATTTCCAAAATTCTTTCATTTATCTATGGCTTATATATGTCTTTGTTTCACTTCAGATATTGTTATCATTTTATGATAGAGAACATTATAAATCATTCCCCTGGGGTATAAAGTAATTCTGTTGATAGTGTCATTATTTAGCCATTTGTAGAGAGTTTAAAACACAAATGAGAAAAGGAAATTACACATGTTTGGCTGGCTTCAGACTGCAAAATGTGAATCATTGACTTGTACAGATTAAACTCTTAAGAGAATGGA